CATAAAACTCAAAAAAGTTGATTTTACATGATATTGCCCCTTTAAAGAACAACAAATACAATTTAGTCATTTTTAAAGATATCGAGTTAAAGTAGACATACCCTGCTTTTAAATCCTTCTTTTTCACGTTTAAATCCTTCAGCTTATTTAAATGTAGAACTGCAACGCTTTGATCTGAATTCCTCCTTATTGTAACTCCACAAGCCCCTCTTTCATGCCTTTTTCTGCATTGTGTCTCAACTCAACTTGTGTTAATGTATTTAACAGCTAAAAAAAGTATATTTTATATGACATGTCCCCTGAGAGTTTTGGTATGGTAGTAGCTGAGAGCTATTAATAACTCTGTAACTGATAAATGTTAGCTTAAGTATTTTATATTTAGTGATCTAAGAAGATAAATGCAGGAAACCTCTAACTTAAATGATAAATCAATAATAAAAGATGCAGTTAACTCGTCCTAAAATATTTTCTTCTCTACTTGTTGAACAATTGATTTTATTGGTCAAGATATCCCAGAAGAAATGAATAAACCAACTGATGTAAACCAAAGCAGAGTTTTGTCTCTCATCTGGATTTTAATGAGCACAGGTCCTTACAGAGAAGTGTTGTTAGTCCTCAGCAACAGATAATTACAGGCCTTTAATGCACTTCCTATCGATTCCCCCTTTTTTATCGACTCTCCGCAGATTACTGGCGGTGACCGTTAACACTGAGACGCACAAACACACACACACATTTTTCATCCTACTCTACCTTGTCGTAGTATCTAATCTCGTAGTCAAGGATGATCCCGTTGGGCTGTTCGGGCGGTGGCCATGACAACGAGAAGCTACGGCTCGTCGAGCTCACTTGGTGCATTATGGGAACTACCGAGGGAGCTTTAAAAAACAACAATAAAAAGAAAAATCACACAACAACACAGTYATTTATAACATTTAGAGATAGGCTCGGATGCTTAAACAGCACATTCAACATTTCTTTATGAGTGAAATGTTTCTTCTTTAACACTTATTAAAACAAATCGTTTTTGTCACTGTTGGGAAACAGGAGGCGTTTCTCTATAAAGTATTTTCACCTATAAATTAAGGAATCATAAAACAGTTGGCTGTACTTTCAAAACTTYGCCTTTAGTATTATTTTCTAAAATGGTTTTAGCCACATTTGTTCTGCTTAAAGACATTCGGACAGTAAGTAAGTGTTACACTGGCGCAAGTTTAGAAAAAAAAAAGGGAAGGTGGCAATTCAAGAGTGGTTYGCAAAGGGCAGCGGTAACAAATCTGCCCGGAGAGTGGCAGGGCGGCGACGGATCATGTTTCGATTAGGACCAAGCCCGGCTGCAGTCGATGAAGTCAACGATGTGCCTTCTATCAAAGGAAAAGCAGCTTTTAAACCCAAATTTGGGTGGAAGTGGAAGTGTCGCTTGTGCCTGTCTCCATAAAGTATTGATTGAGTAATAACTCAGTTCCTTTTTATGGGCTCTAGGAATTATAGAGGCACGCTGGAAGGAAGATGGAAGGCAAAGCAGAGGGAGAGAAAAAAACGAGGGCTGAGGGAGTAAAAAAAAAAGTGAGAAAAGGATTAAAGCTGTGGCTGTGCAGGAGAGAAAGAAGGAGTGGAGGGGGGAGGGGAGAGGTGACAAACCTCAAAACATGTTTTATGAATTAAATGTCTATAGCTCAATTTCCTTTATCTTTTTTTATCTCGCCCCACATATAATCCATGGAGCCCCAGGATGTGAGTTCACATAGATACAGACAAACACACACACACACTAATAATGTTTTTGCTTTACAACTCACCWGCTTGATTGGTTGTAATGTTGATTGACAGCTGCTGGGCGGGATAAGGACTCTTATTGGACACTCCGTTGACTGCCTAAAGGGTATGAAAAATAAGTCTTAAGTCCACGTTGCGTATGCCTTAATATGCATGCATTTAAAACAATATTATTTATATTAGTTTATCAGAAGCTTACTAAATCAAACTGACACTGATGCAAATTCTTAAATAACAACAAATTAAGGTTTTAATTTATTATTGTTGTATCAAGCTCCCTTTTTTCCCTCTAATTTTATGTTTCCCAATGTCCTTACGTGTTAAATCTGCTACTTAGACTAATAAAAAAAAGAGGAACCATAAAAATATTTAATCGAAAAGATGACCGATTTGTTTATTTAACAAGAGTTAGGATTTCCATTGGTGCATTATTTTAACCTCTTAAGCCCCAAGGGGTTTTCTTGATGTTTTTGCTCAAAATTGTAATTGAGTGTATCTCAGCATTTGCAAACTCTACTTAAATAATCTTGGTATCAAAATAAAGCTAACACTTGGGAGATTTTTATTAGAAGTGTRAGTATTTAAACAGCTGCTCTTGTTTTAGAGATACGGTACTGAGGATTGAACTTTTTTTTTTTACATTTTCTTTCCTCTCGTCTGTATAATTTTTGCATTTCACAGTATTTATCCCATTTAAAAGCATAATGAATCAGGCTAAAAACTCTTGGAAACCATAAATCCACTTGTGGACATCACCTGCGCAAAGATTCATGCTGCTAAAATTACCTGGAGCAAAATTACAGAGGTTTTAGTAAGGAAATAATTTTGCGGTTTGTCATCTTGCACAGGACAGACCACGATGGTACCATTAATAAATGTTAAGAAATCTGAAGTTTTTTCATCCAAAAGTTATTTATGTTTTCTTACCTGCCTTAAAAGACTTATTGAATGTTTGTTCTTCTGAAAAGTTATCCAAATCTTTTTTTGTCACCATATATATTATAT